ATTAACAAACCTGGTCCCCAACCTCAAATGCTATTTTCCTATATATAGAAATCTCTTCTACCAAATCCTTTTGTGTTTGTTTTTCTTAGCCAATGTGCTGTCAGTGTCCACTGTTGATTTTAATGGGCTCTTTGTGTTCTTGGTTATCATCCAGGACACAACAAATGTAATTTGGTAGAGAAATAGAGCGGGGGGGGGATACTTTTGTTGATGTTCTCAGGATTCCGCCGGCAGGTCGGTCACAGACGGATGCTCCGAGTTGGCAGCTCAGCCATGAAAGCCATTACCCTGGGCCTCAGACTCCTCTTCCGGTCTGTGGTCTGGGACACCATCTGGCAGGTCTGGTCCCTCTCCTCTCCAGTGTCCCTTAGGCAGGGCAGAGCCGGAGGGGCCGTCTTCTCTTCCTGTGCTGGTGCCGTGTGGGTGGCTGGTCTTAGGATCAAATGGAAAGCCAGGAAAGAGCGCGGGAGAGAGACAGGATGACAAATAGTGGGGGTAGATTGACCACACAAGGGAAGGGGAGACAGAGCAGGATCTCACGTGTCCCCAGCTGGTGTGTCTGCTGGTCTGGCAGTGCTGGCTGGGTGTCCCCACTGATGTGCAGAGGTCTGGGCTTCATGATGATGTGATGACTTTTGAGATCCCCGGGTGAAGGACAAAGTCCCTGGGGTGGCGGTGACAGTTGCCCCCCTCTGGAAATCCCACAGTCCCTCCACATGTTCCTGCCCCACAAAGTATATTTTGAAGGGCCCTGAAAGAGGGTGATGGACAGAATCATCCATCCTCTCGTTCTTCTGTTTACCAATTAGGCCTCACTTCCAATTTTGGCCCGTTAACTTCTGGTTCCCAACTCTTTTTGTTTACCAGAGATGGTCTCAACACCATCCTTCAGGTGCATCAGAAAAGCCCTGCTTGTTTAGACTCATTTAGTTTTTCTGTTTTTCACTTTTACTGTTTTTTTTATAAACAGTCTCATGTAACAGGCTGAGTTGGACTTTCGTTACCTTTTCCCTTCGGTGTTTATTATTGCAGGTGATTAAACCATTTCAGAACCTTCCATCCACTTTCCCATAGTTAGGCCTACCTCAGCTCTGAGCCTAATAGGCCCCAACTATTACAACAGAGTCACTTCATCCTTCTGTGTCATGGATCCAGAGGATCTGTGCTGTGCCCCCACAGGAGCCCCTTCTGTGTGGCAGACCCCCAGGGGGTCTCACTCTTCCTGGAGGGTCGATCACATGGCCTCACTGCCTCTGAGACTCCACTTCTGGCTCCAACACTCCCATTTCATACCAGCAGCTCTGCCCAGTGAGTCCAACTGAGACAGGCTCCTCGTCAGAGGCTTGCGCACTCTACAGGGACCAATGTCCCTCAGCAAGTATCTGCAGTGACACCTGGCAGCCCTTTCATAATGGAATAGGGGTTATTAGTCAAGCAAAGACAGCAGCAGGATTCCTTAGGTTGGCAGAGAGAAATAAAGCTTCAGAGACGTCATCCACCTGGCCAAGCCAGTGCAATCACCAGCCACGCTGCTATGGCCACCATTGGCTCTGTCTCTGTCAGACCAAGGTGAGAGCCCCGTGTCTCTCCAGAGGCCAGCACTTAACCCCTCACCTGACATCTTTTCCTTTGTTCTCAGGCTGGGGCTTTGCTCTTCTTCTTGGTCACTGATTGCTAGGTGTGAATGATCTGGCCTCTGTGGTTTTCACTGCCTCTCCGGATTCTCCATGGGCGTGGTTGGCCTTGGGCAGTACCCACCATGGCACCAGGCCCACGCTCCAAAGGAGCCCCGGCCCGGCCGCTTTTCTCCACCCCCTGCCCACCGCTCTCTCCTGCGGGGGCAGGGGGCAGAAGCTCGATCCTGCCGGCTCCTGCAGCAGGGCAGGCTCCACTGGCAGCCAAGCTCCCCCCTTCCCCATCTCTTCCCATGAGCGCCCCGCATTCCCGCCCCTCCCGCTCCCAGCGCTTCCCCCACCACTGAACAGGGGGGAGGAGCGGGGCCACAGCATGCTCGCCGCTGGGGAAGGAGGCGGAGAAGAGGCAGGGGTGGGGCCTTGGGAAAGGGGGTACAATCGGGGCATACTCCCTCCAGCCCCCTGCCGTGAGCTGCTCAGGGCAGGGGGCTGGGAGAACCCCCACGACCCC